GGTCCAGGGTAAACAAATCTGACAGCATGATTGTTCCATAGCAAGCTGTGGGTCCTGTATCGAGCAGGCTTGGGTCGATAGCATTTAAAAACAAAGATATTGCCCCTAAATTCCTCACCCTTACCACCCATTTTAGTAAAGTTCTTTGGGAATTTGATGATGTTATTCTTCAAAATAAAACAGCTCATTCACATTATACCCCTGGCTTTAGTCATTTCTTGGTTTTTGTCCTCTCCCTGCACAGACCACCTCTTGGTGACTGGAATCTTAGAGGAGCTCTCAGTTGTCACCAAATAATGTTTCCCTTTGGGGTGATTTGGAGGCTAGTGGCCAAAGCTCAACCAAAATCTTCACTTGAGCCAACATCAAGGTCCAACCCCGCACTCTCTTATTTTCATTTTAACTATCTATTACAGGTAGCAATAATGAAGAGATTATATATTTTGCTCTTGTCTTATTCATTTCCATTTCCTCAAGCATTCAGAAACGCAAGTAGGTAAAACCCAGAGTGTTCCAAAAGAGAAAAAAAGCTGGGAGTTCTTATAGTAAAAAGAACATTCTTGAGAAGATTTAGTCCTGCATTCTTAGCCTCTGGTCCAGAGATGGTAATCTTCTAGCTGACCAGTAGTCTGGATAATGGATATGTGTTGATGTAAGAAATGCCCAAACTGGTAGAGAAATTTTTATGAGTTCATTTGAGCCAACACAGGCCAGGAAACGAGATCTCAAATGCTCCAGAAAATAATAGTTTTGCAGCTTTCCCCATGCATTTGAAATTAAGTAGGGAACTAAGGGAGATTTCCTGGAGGTTGGGGAAAGCAAAGCAGGATTACAGGGTGGTTAACAAAATTATGTGCTCTCTTGAGTGTGGTTATGACTCAGTTCAAAGGTGTGTTAACCTACATGCGTAGAAACAATTGACCGAGCTTGCTTAAGGCAAAAATAAACTTTTTATTAAAAAGTTATATGCCTGGGGCATAGGTGTGCACCATAACTTGTCTAGTTAGGAATTTTTTTTAAATGAAATGTATTTTAATAAACACTGCCTTTGTAACTATTCACACTGTGCATAGGCATGTTTTGGGACAGACACCCTGTACATGTAGTCTTTATCTCTGTTTCTGCACAGAACCCCCAAAACTTGATGTTTCTAGGTGATGAGCCTGAGGTGTTCCAGTTAGGAATTTATGATCAGATCACGCCATGAGGTGACTTTCCCTAGAATCCTTTTTTATCCCATCCACAGGTGTCGTCCGAATATATGAACATTTTTTCCTTTGTTCTTCATGGGGTAACCAGAAGGTTACCTGGAAATTCAATGTACATACAGGCATTGACACACAGGACTGGAAAGTCCAATCGTTTTAGTACCCAGGCTGGTTAGAACAGGAAATAGAATAATTTCTTCCTGCCTCAACCTACCTGATTTTAGTAATTTGGCAGGTTGGCTATAGCGACTTCATTTTATTTCTTCACTCTATTCCTCATTCTTTAGGAATTGCAGCACAGCTGCTGTTCCCTACCACGTCGTCACCAGGAATCAAGTTCCTCATCCTCTCCCCTTTCATCCTTCCTCTTCCTAAACCATGAGCCAGCACCAGTCTGGCAAATCCTACTTCTGATGCCAATCCTGGGGTGTTTTCTCTGACACCAATTAATTCTTTGAAAGCAACTGGGTGTAGGACAATTCAATTTAATTCTGCTACTATCTACCTAGAGTTAATGTGCGATCCCACAAATTAAAGGGCTGAGTCCCACCAGACCCCTTTTCCAAAGCCAGTGACCAGTCTCAGGTCACCACCTGTGCTTCTGACCAACCAGCTAGAAATGTTGATTTGATAATTTGCTGGGACAGAACTCAGAAAACACCTTACTTACATTTACCAGTTTATTATAAAGGGTACTACACACGAATAACTAAATGGATCAGGGCAAGGTATAGAAAGGGGATGTCACGGAACTTCCATGCTCTCTCCAGATGTGCCATTCTCCCAGCACCCTTTGCACCAGCCAGAGGCCCTCAAAGAGATTGTTTGTTTGTTTTGTTAATCCTCGCCCAAGGATATTTTCCCATTGATTTTTAGAGAGAGTAGGTAGAAGGAAGGAGGGAGACAGAGAGAAACATGGATGTGAGAGACATCGGTTGGTTGCCTCCTGCCTGTGTCCAGACCAGGGCTGGGGATTGAGCTTGCAATCTAGGTACATGCCCTTGACCAGAATGGAACCAGGGACCCTTCAGTCCATAGGGACAACACTCTACCTACTTAGCCAAACTGGCCAGAGCTCAGAGTTGTTTTCTTCCAGTTTTTTAATCAATTTTTTAATTGATTAAGGTATTATATGTGTCCATATCCACCCCATTGTCCCATACATGTCCTCACCCCCCAGTGCCTTGCGTCCATTGGTTATGCTTATATGCATGCATATAAGTCCTTCAGTTGATCTCTTACCTCCCTCCTCCCTTCCCAGACTTCCCACTATAATTTGACTGTTCCAATGTTCAATTATACTTAACTATAATTAAGTCTGTTCCATGCTTCTCTGCCTCTGTATCTATCTTTTTGTTCATCAGGTTATAATGTTCTTTAATTTCCATAAATGAGTGAGATCATGTGGTATTTATCTTTCACTGACTAGCTTATTTCGCTTAGCATAATGCTCTCCAGGTCCCAAAGAGTTTTTAGAGAGCTCAGACTCCAGCCCTACTCCCTTCTTTGAAGGATAGGGGATGGGACTGATTAGCGACCACCCCCATTTTCAATCTAGGGACCCCACCCTAAGTTACCTAATTAACATAACATAAATAACAAAAGACACTTCTGTCTCTTAGGAAACTCAAAGGATGTGGGGAGCTCTGTGCCAGGAACTGGAGACAAAGACCAAATATATTTATTGTCGCACAGCTACGCTGAGATAATGCTCATAGACATGAGGAAGAGTCATTGGAAGATATTCTCAAAGGGGAGAATCGGCTGGACTCTGGGTCTTGGAGAAGTACTCCAGAAGTTAAACAGCTCATGTTCTCATCTCTGTTCTGCCGTTGAACTTCCCTCTGTAAAGTGGAGGGAATTATATTATTTTTAAAAATATATTTTATTTATTTTTTTTTTTTTAACAGAGAGGAAGGGAGAGGGATAAAGAGTTAAAAACATCGATGGGAGAGAAACATCCATCAGCTGCCTCCTGCACACCTCTTACTGCGGATGTGCCCGCAACCAAGGTACATGCCCTTGACCGGAATTGAACCTTGGACCTTTCAGTCCATAGGCTAAACCAGTCAGGGCAAGAATGATATTTTATACCTGCTTCTGAGGGTTGGTAAAATGGAAGATTAGTCATTGCAGTGTGAAAGAAAAGAGCCACATGCTGACCTGACAAACTCAGGGGAGGCCTGCGTGGCAGTCTTGCAAACTCAGAGACCTAAAATAACCACAAAAGATGGTTTGAAAATTAAATATTTAACTACAAACAGGTTATAGTGGGTAGTTATGTCCTAGGCCGATATTTCCCTGACAAAGATCAACTTAGATCTTTACTGAGCCCATTTGCCTTCCTGCCTCTAAGATAACATATCTGTGAGATGTCTGGGTAACTTGTAACTTCCCTTTTTTTGGAGCCCCTGGGGCACAACCAAATGTGGTGGGTGCCAGGACAGATGCCTCGAATTCCTTCTTTACCATGTTAATTGTTCCTGCACTCACCTAAGTACCAGTCCATCATTTTACTTTTTATCCAATCCCAGGGGTTTTCCACCACTTTGCTTTCTCCCGCCTCCTTACTCCGTCACCAATGAATTTCATGTAACCCACCTATGTTCCTCCTTTGATGGCAATGCATAAGTAGAAATGTAACCCGCCATTCCTCGAAGCATTAACTCAGTCCGTTGAGGTTCTCCTTCCCGGCATATGTCAAATAAACTCACAAAAATTCTTTACAGGTTTCAATGGCTTTTTTTCATTAACAGCAGTGTCTGGATCGGTGTGGGAAACATGTATAGAGCTCAATACATGACAGCTTTTACTATCATAGCTACAGGAGGTGGGAGATCCAAGCTAGTCCATGTTCCCAGCCCTTCTTACTCATTCACCATCCGCAGGCTTCAGTTTCCTCGCCCACAAAATTAAAGCATGGGCGTCCCCACCCGAGCCCAGAGTCCCTTCCTTCAGAAGTCTGAATCAAATGTGACTCAAAGACTCCCAGGCAGGGTGACTCAGGGGGCTGGTGCCAGGACCAGAAGGTGGGACATCGAGGGGAGGAGCACTCAGTGGGAGGATCCTGGCCCAACCCTGCTCGCCCCAGCCTCGCTTTCCGAGTTAAAAGCCCAGTGGGGCCGAAACCGGTTTGGCTCTGTGGATAGAGCGTCTGCCTGCGGACTGAGAGGTCCTGGGTTCCATTCTGGTCAAGGGCATGTACCTTGGTTGCGGGGCACGTCCCCAGTGGGGTGTGTGTGTGTGTGTGGGTGTGTGTGTGTGCAGGAGGCAGCTGATGGATGTTTCTCGCTCTCTATCCCTCTCCCTTCCTCTCTCTGTAAAAAATCAATCAATCAATCAATTAATCAATAAAAAGCCGGGTGGGCCCAGGAATCGGAAAGTAGATTTGGAGAGAGGTGGCCCCTAGGAACCTCCCATAGGCCTTTTTTTTTTTTAAGGTCAATTAATCTTCCTTTATTTGTGATTAATACATTTTTTCTTATTTAAAGTACCTCAGCTCCAAGCTCAAAACTATATCCTTCTGAATTTTGTCCTAATAGTTGCATTTTCTTTCCCGTATAGGTCTTTAATCAATTTTTATTTTTATCATTTTTTTTCTCTCTTTTTTTTTTTTTTTTTTTTTAATTAAGGTATTATAGGCCTTTCACCTGCCACCCCCAGCAGGCGGGGCCCCAGCGGAATCCGGGGCGGGGTCAAGGGCGGGGTCAAGGGCGGGTCCGGGGCGCGCCGGGCGCCGCGCTCCGCCTCCCGGGCGCCGTCCGGGCCCGCCGCCGCCGCCGCGGCCGCCGCCAGCCGATGGGGCCGGAGGAAGAGGAAGGGGTGGAGCGGCGGCGCGGCTCTCCGCGGAGCTGTCAGCGCCCGGCGGGGCGAGCGGGCGGCCCCCCGCGCTGTCCCCGCGGCCTCGAGCCCGGCCGGGGCCCAGAGCGGCGGCGGCGGGGCCGGGACAGGCGGCCTGCGCGGCGGGCGATGCCGGGCCCCGGGGTCACTCCCGGCCGGGGCTGCGCCCGGGCCGGCGGCGGGGAGCGGCGGCCGGACGGACCCCGCGGGGCCCCGCGCCTGGGGAGCCTGGGCATGGCGCTGGCGCTGGCCCTCCTCCCCGCCCTGGCTCTCCGGACCCCCGCGGCGGCCCACCCGCTCCCCGCCCAAGGCCTTTTCGCCAGTTTCGGCGGCCTGGTGTCCCAGGACGGGGGCACCTTTGGATGGAGGAACCTCACCTGCCCGGCCTGCAAAAGCCTCTTCACCGTCCTCGACTTCGGGCTGCAGGTGAGCGCGGGAGGGGCTGGTGGGGAAGGAAGCAGGCCAGGCCCGGGAGAGCCAGGGCCCGGGGTCCCGGAGGGCACCCCCGTGGGGAAAGGCTGGCCCCCACACACGCCTTCACTGAAGCGCCCTCCTTTAAGGACACCCTGGGGCTGTAGGCCGCCCTGCCTCCATGGTGACCTTGTGAAGTGAGGGAACAGACCAAATTGATAGGCCTAGCGCTGTGCTAGCCTTTTTTTTCTTTTTCTTTTTTTTTAACTTTTTTTTTTTTTTTTTTTTTTTTTTTTTTTTTTACAGAGAGGAAGGGAGAGGGATAGAAAGTTAGAAACATCGATGAGAAAGGAATATAGATCAGCTGCCTCCTGAAAAGCCCCCACTGGGGATGTGCCCGAAACCAAGGTACATGCCCTTGACCGGAATTGAACCCGGGACCCTTGAGTCCACAGGCTGACCCTCTATCCTTTGAGCCAAACCAGTTTCGGCTGTGCTAGCCTTTTCACACAGGTTAAAGCAGGCCCGCCCGCTGGTCTCATGGCTGCTGCTGTCTCCATGTTACCAATGATTAGATTTCCGGGGAGGTGAAGTCTCTTGACCAAGGGCAGATGACTGGCCAGGGGGGGGACTGGGACTCCCATCCTGGTGTGCCTGGTCCTAGCTACTCCAAGGGGACTTGCAGGAAGACACATCCAGGGGTGTAGAACCAGCTGGGGCCGCCCTGACCCTGGTCCGGTTAGGAGGTTAGGATGAGTGCTGGCGGTTAGGTAAAGCTTTGTGAGGCTCCCCAGATAAGCCGGGCCCTGCCCCTGCATGGATCCCCAAACCCCGGACAGCCTGTCAGTGTGCCCAGCCCAGACTTCAGGGCACACTGCAGGCTGTGTGTGCCTGCGAAAGCCAACTGGGCAAAAACAAAGGCCTGACACGCCTCTGGCCACGGGACCGCAGAGGAGTGCTGGCTGGTGCTGCCTGAGTCACGGGGCAGGACCTGTGGGAGGCCGAGGGCGCGCTGAGGTCTCGTCGCCACGGTGGCGCCGGTCCAGTCCAGCCCCCGTTTGGATGCGGAGGCCCAAGGGGTGGTAGCCAGGGGGGCGGCCTGGATCCCCGTGTCCTGACCCTGACCTCCCACCGCCGGTTCTTCCTCCCCCCCCGCCCCCCCAGAAAGAGAATAACGTGGCCCGGGTGGGCTCCCTGGCCACCAAGCTGTGCCAGCTGCTGAAGATCGCACCCCCGGCCGTGTGCCAGTCGGCTGTCCAGCTCTTCGAGGACGACGTGGTGGAGGTGTGGAGACGCTCGGTGCTGAGCCCGTCGGAGGCCTGCGGCCTGCTCCTGGGCCCCAGCTGCGGGCACTGGGACATCTTCTCCTCCTGGAACATCTCTCTGCCCGCCGTGCCCAAGCCGGCTCCCCGGCCGCCTGACCCGCCGGCCCCGGGGGCCCCCGTCAGCCGGGTCCTCTTCCTCACGGACCTGCACTGGGATCGGGACTATCTGGAGGGCACGGACCCCGACTGCGGAGACCCGCTGTGCTGCCGCCGGGGCTCCGGCCCACCACCCCCCTCCCGCCAGGGCGCCGGGTACTGGGGCGAGTACAGCAAGTGCGACCTGCCCCTGCGGACGCTGGAGAGCCTGCTGAGCGGGCTGGGCCCCGCCGGCCCTTTCGATAGGGTGTACTGGACGGGAGACATCCCCGCCCACAACGTCTGGCACCAGTCCCGCCAGGACCAGCTGCAGGCCCTGACCACCGTGACGGCCCTCGTGAAGAAGTACCTGGGGCCCGTGCCCGTGTACCCTGCCGTGGGCAACCACGAGAGCACGCCCGTCAACGGCTTCCCGCCCCCCTTCATAGAGGGCAACCACTCTTCCCGCTGGCTCTACGAGGCCATGGCCGAGGCCTGGGGGCCCTGGCTGCCTGCGGAGGCCCTTCACACCCTCAGGTACCTGCGGCCCACGGGAGAACGGGGTGGAAAAGCAAGGTGGATGGACGTGAAGGGAGCAGGGAGCCCGGGCATTGTCTCTGACCGCTGTAGCGGGACTCCTCTGCTCGCCTCTCGGGCCTCCCTGATCTGACCCCTCCTTCCCTTCCCTTTCCACCCTTATCTCCCGCCACCCTCCTTCTCTGGGCTGGCAGTGTTCCCTCTCCTTCTCCAGAATGCCTTCCCCTCCTGTTTACATCCTATCGATACCTTCCCCCAGCTTACCCAGGCCCATGCCATCTTTCCCGAGCGGCCACTGCTTCCCCCGCCAGCTCACTTTTCTCTCTACCCTGAACCCCTAGAGCCCTCGGCCCTCCGAACCACTCTCCTCAGTCCCTGGGGCCCCATCACCATGCTCTTGGGTCTTCAGCTTCTCCAGGGTAGACATGAAGCTCTGTAGGCCTCCAAGTTCCGTTCAACTGTCTCTCACAGGTCAGGGCATGCAGGACCAGGGTGATGAATGGGCGCTGACCCCCTTGTGTTCCCTTTATTTCAGAACTGGGGGGTTCTATGCCCTTTCCCCAAGCCCCGGCCTCCGCCTCATCTCTCTCAATATGAATTTTTGTTCCCGTGAGAACTTCTGGCTCTTGATCAACTCCACAGATCCCGCTGGGCAGCTCCAGTGGCTGGTGGGGGAGCTTCAGGCCGCCGAGGATCAAGGAGACAAGGTGAGGGAGAGTGGGGAGCGCGATGGCGTCGGTGCCCAACCAGGGGGAGCAGCCGGCTCTCCTCAGCAGACCCCCGTCTGGAGCCGGAGCCCCTGTGAGCGGAGACGCTTCCAACAACAGCGTGCTCTCGGGGTGCTGCGCAAGGTCATCCTTAGAAGTCCTTTTGTTCACTCACCTTCTCTCTGGGCAGAAATGCCAGTCAGCATAGATGAGTACCAACTCGGCTGGCCTGGGCTGTCTGAACCCCTCCTAGCCCTGATTATGCCCTGATAACCACCCTTCCCTCCCTCCACAGGTGCACATAATCGGCCACATCCCCCCAGGGCACTGCCTGAAAAGCTGGAGCTGGAATTACTACCGGATTATAGCCAGGTAGGTAGGAGGGAGGTGGGGTGGGGGTGGGAGGATGAAGGGTGAAGATTGAAATTCCTTTGAGCCTCTTCTTCAACATCCCATGCTGCCCCAACCAGATGGGGAGGCCACGTGCTTGAATAGGATGGATTCCTGTTCCTCCTCCTCCTCCTCCCTAGAACCTTCTGAATGCGATTGCTGTCCCTGCGTAGGTACGAGAACACCGTGGCCGGTCAGTTCTTTGGCCACACCCACGTGGATGAGTTTGAAATCTTCTATGACGAGGAGACCCTGAGCCGCCCGCTGTCTGTAGCCTTCCTGGCGCCCAGTGCCACCACCTACATCAGCCTGAATCCCGGTGAGTGAGGCAGGCAGAGAGCGGCTGTAGAAAGAGGGGGGTTGGGGAGGGCTTAAAAGGGGCGGCGGGGTCGAGCCTAGGCCGGCAAGGGGCTGGACGCAGGTCTCTCTCCTCCGTCGCTCTTGCTCTCTGAGTCCCCAGCCAGCGCCTCCCTCCTTGCAGGTTACCGGGTCTACCTGACAGACGGCAACTACCCCGGGAGCTCTCACGTGGTCCTGGATCACGAGACCTACATTCTGAACCTGACCCAAGCCAACGAGCCGGGGGCCACGCCGCACTGGCATCTCCTCTACCGGGCTCTCCAGACCTACGGGCTGCCCAACGCGCTGCCCGCCGCCTGGAACGACCTGGTGTACCGCATGCGGGGCGACACGCAGCTGTTCCAGACCTTCTGGTTCCTCTACCATAAGGGCCACCCGCCCTCCGAGCCCTGTGGCACGCCCTGCCGCCTCGCCACCCTGTGCGCCCAGCTCTCCGCCCGCTCCGACAGCCCTGCCCTGTGCCGCCACCTGGTGCCCGACGCGAGCGTCTCCGACCTCCGGAGGCATCCGCGAAGGCCGCTCTGCTAGCGCCCACTCTGGCTGGCATCGTCTCCGTTGGGAAAGGGCGTGTCTTAGGAAGGGAGCAGAAGCCCCTGAAGGCCGCCGTGGTGAGAAACGTCGGTGAAGAGCCCGGTGAAGAGCCGTTGCTGGGCCCCAAGTTCAGCTCCTTGCCTGGAGCCGGGGTGGCAAGACATGGACGGGGATTAGCGGCTCCCCCTGTCGGAAGCTGTCCTTTCACAGACTAGGAGCAGAGGCCTCCGTGGGCAGCGCCCTGGTCAGACCAGACGGGGGCTGTCGCCCCAGGCCCGAGCTGGCCAGCCAGGAACACTTCTGCTGCTGCTGTCTGGCTGCCAGGCGGTTAATAAAGCTAAGAGACGTGGACTCCAGGTCCTCTCCCTCTGTGACTGCCCCAGTTTCTTCTTTCAAAGCAGGCAGGGCTAGAGGGCCTTGGGAACAAGATCCTGACTGCGGGGTCAGGGTAACGGGGTGATGGGGTGGTGCGGGCACAGGAAGTGACACAGCTCAGCAGGGCAGACAGACTTTATTAGTGATATCAGTACAGCAGAGGTGCCATGGAGCAGGGGGGAGGGGCCCGTGTCTGGACTGGCCCCCTACTTCAGCCCCCGCGGGACCCCACAAAGGTGGGGCCCGGCTTGGCATTCCTCCCGCTCCACCTGAAATGTGGGGATGGAGAAGACGGGGCTGGCTTTGCTGCTTCCTGTTCCTCTTATCATCCAGTGTTGTCACTTCCGTGAAGGGATCAGAGGTCTCCCTCCCCAACCCCTTGGCCGGGAACCCAGCTACAGAGAAGGGGCTGTTTGGGAGGGGTGTGGGGCTGAGGCCAAAGAATAGCCTCCAGGGCCCCTCCCAGCCCCGTCCCCTTGAGTTCCCTGGGGCCGAATGCAAGCAGGCGGAGGGAGAACTGAGGGCTTCAGGGGGTGTGGGCCCCCAGGCGTTTGGGCTTGAGGGAGCCCCACAGCGACTGGACGCCCCTGCGGACAGTCCACCCTACACGCCGGGCGACGGACTCCGCCGGGGGTGCGGGGAGGCAGGAGGTGGAGGCCTGGGAGCGGGCATCCAGACACTTCTGGTAGCGGAGCTGCAGAGAGACGGGTGGGCAGTCATTCTCCAGCCTGCCCCGCCGGGGTGGGGGGTCACCACCCCACCATCCTACCCACTTACCATGCACGCGGCCTGCACCGCTTCGGAGAGGCTGGCCGCATTGGGCTCGCACCAGAACATGTGGCAGCAGAAGGAGGCTGGGCCGGCAGCCATGATGAAAGCGAACGTGTGGACATCTCTGCCCACCGCCAGGAAGGAGAGGAAGCGCACCCGGCACTCTCCCAGCACTGCCTCCGTCTGCGGGGGGGAGGGGGCCCCGGTTAGCAAGAACCAGCCAGAGGGGCACAGGCATCTCATTGGCAGTTCTTGCCCTCCCCCCCACCCCAGGTCTTTACCTGCTGATGCAAGATGGTGAGGGTGGCAGGGGCCACGCTGACGTGACTTGGGGTCCACTGCTCCCGGCTGCTGGAGGACAGGACGGACTCCAGGGCCCCGTTTATTACATCTACCCCTAGAAGGTACAGATACACACATGGCACCACTGGAGGTAGGGAGAGGACCCCCGGATCTGCCCTAGACTTTCCAGCTCCGCCCAGTCAAACCCAGGGCCTTGGCTCCATCCCACTTCACCAGCCTACACCCCCAGGGAGCTGCACAGGTGGCCCCGCCTCGGTGCTCTCCTCCTGGGCTTCAGGGACTTGCCTCTGGTCTGGTGTCTCCATCCTAAATCCTAGGCTTGGCATTCTTCACTGTTCTCCCTCTCCTGCTGGCACTCAGAGGAGAACCCAGACTCCTAACCCCATGGGCCCCCTGGAGCTCTGACCTTGCCATAATCTGACTCACCACATTCAGACCTCATGCTTCGCACAACACCGACTCCCAAATCTGCCCCGCAGGCCAGTCCTCGCCCAAGACCCAACCTTTGTTTGGCTGAAGGTGCCCGTTTAAGGAAATGTTTACTCTTGTGTCACACCACGTGTTAAACCGCCGAGTGCCTTTCGACAGTCTCACGACAGATCCTTTTACAGATAAGGGAGCTCACAGAAATCAGGAAATCAACCTTAGGTCACATGGAGGGATGGGGTGTCAAAACCTTAGTCGTGCTCAATAATTTCTATAATGTTGCCCAAGGGCCAAGGAACCCAAGGCCCCTGGCTTTTACTACATCAACCAGCTTTTCCGTGACACACAACGGTTTCCTCCACTTCTGCTGGCACTCGGTGAGAATGCAGGCAGCAGCGCATGGCATGGTGGGAGGCGTGGGTTCCAGTCCCTGCTCCGCTCAGGACTGGCTGTGTGACCTACGTGTCTGCAGCCCTGCAGTGGCGAATAGTGCCATCGCAAAAGCATCCAATGGCCGGAACCGGTTTGGCTCAGTGGATAGAGCGTCGGCCTGTGGACTGGAAGGTCCCGGGTTTGATTCTGGTCAAGGGCATGGACCTTGGTTTTGGGCACATCCCCGGTGGGGGCTGTGCAGGAGGCAGCTGGTCGATGTTTATCTCTCATCAATGTTTCTGGCTCTCTATCCCTCTCCCTTCCTCTCTGTAAAAAAATCAATGAAATATATTTAAAACAAAACAAAAGCATCCCACGCAAAAGCACACGCCTCTGTGGTCCCTCGGGGCCCTCTGGGCTCCCACCGGAAACAGACTGCATGGACCCTCTTAGGGCAGAGGACAAATGTCTCCCTCCACAGTCCTCCCTCACGTTGGCCTTGCTCATCTTACCTCCGGCCGGATCAAGGCCCAGCTCCCACGCACGCACGCGAGGCCTCTAAAACCTGGCCTCCTCTGAGCTGTCAAGCCTCCTGTTTGCTCCCTGAGCTTCAGATGACTTTTATGGAACATTTATTAACATCTCGCCGGGACAAATGCCCTGCGAGGCAGGTGGGGGATACAAAATGAGAGAGGATACCCTCGAGGGACACGGAATGTTACGGAGGGCAAGGCCTCGGTCCGGAGCACACCTTCCACACACACACACACACACACACACACACACACACACACCCCGGACTGCCGAGGAACTCCCGATTCTCATCCTTCAGGTTCACCCACACGCCACCTGGGAAGCCTTCTCCGCTGCAGGCAGAGAGAGGGTGTGGCTGGGTCAACTCTGAGCAAAACATCTAAGACTGCTTAAAACCTCCCCTACACTGGGCTGGCACCTCAGGGACAGAAACCAAGTTCCATTCATCTGTGTGTGGCCAATCCTAGCACAGGGCTTTATCTGCTGAAGGATTTCCAGACGCGTGAGCAAGTCACCCTCAAGGCAACATGGGCCAATACCAGCACCCAAACTGGTATGACCGAGTCACCCACAGGAGGGTGTCAATGCGAGCAGGAGTGGGTGGGCCAGGTCAGACTGCAGAGAGCTGCGATGAGTATGACTTTCAGCTGTGATGTGTTATGGCAGAGAGAGTCTCAGAGATCATGCGTTGTGGATACGACCCTGAAATCAAGCTGCTTAAGAAACAGATGAGGCCCTGGCCGGGGGTGTGTCTCGGTTGGTTGGAGCACTGCCCCATACACCAAAAGGTTACGGTTTTGATTCCCTGTTGGGACACACACCTAAGTTGCAGGTTCAATTCCTGGTCTGGATACGTTTTGGGGAGTAGGAGAGGGGGCAACCAATTGGTGTGTTCTTTTGTTTTGTTTTTTTTATCTCTCTCTCTTTCCCTTCCTCTCTCTAAAATTAATAAAAAGCATATCCTCTGGTGGGGGGAAGCAGATGGGGCTGTGAGGGTGGGTCCTGGCCTCAGAGTGTGGGGAGGAACAGCGTGGAGGGAAGGGGAAAGCAGTGGAAGAAAAAGCCTGAGTTGGTAACAGCCCGGAGCTGAAACCTACAGGCTAACTGCTAGCCTCACACTCCCATCCCCCTTTCCCTGATGTGCATTCTTTTACTATGAGGTGTTGCCTTCCAACATACTCCATAACTTACTTATTTTATTGTTTGTCTCTCCTAGCTAGAGTGTCAGCTACCTGAAGGCAAGAATCTCTGTCAGTTTTGCTCATTAATGTGTACCAAGAACCCACAATAGTGTCTGGCACAAACCAGCAGTCCGTAGTCATTTGTTGAGTGAATGAATATTGCAGCTTCAGCAGGAGCCAATGCTAAACTCCCAGAGGTTCAGCCTAGCAGGTGTTGCTCAGTGGTTGAGTGTTGACCTATGAAGCAGGAGGTCACAGTTCGATTCCCGGTCAGGGCACATGCCTGGGTTGTGTGCTCAATCCCCAGTAGGCGACATGCAGGAGGCAGCCGGCCAATGATTCTCTCTTACCACGTATGTTTCTATCTCTCTCCCTTCCTCTCTGAAATAAATAAAAATGCATTTTAAATAAATAAATAAACTCCCAGAGTTCAAAAAGGGAGCAGACACTAAAGCAAGAAGTGAGCTTCGAGACCAGTGGTGTGAACGACCTGGCTTCACCAGAGCAGACACACTGAGCTAATGGACAACAGAGGGGCCATCCAGGGTTGCAGACAGATGGTTCAGTGCAGTGAGAACCTGTGTACGGTGAATATGGGAGTGGGGGTAATAACTGGAAGAGGCAACAAGGGCTTAGAAGCTGAGGGTGGGAGGGAGAGGAAATGAGAGGAAATGTGTAGGAGTCAAGCATCTCCTTTCTGCTTCCTCAGCGTCCTTTTCCACCTCCAAATCCACGTCTGCACAGATCCAACCAGAACAGCCACTCCTCTGCAACTCCAGCTCCATCCCCATCCTTCCTAAGAAGGGTGACTTCACTAAATGTAAGGTGCCGGTCATTACAGTCAGCATGGTTGAGGGGAAGAGGAAAGAACTGGAGGTGACCAGATTGAGTCCTAGGACCACCATCTCCTAGCTATGTCATCTGAGGCAAGTCTCGTTCATTCATACATTCGTCTGTCGGTTTCCCTATTCACCAAGCTTTGTTGAGTTCTTCCAAAGTGTCTTTTGACATGACACCCAACCACTCCGTGAAGCAGTCTTTTTTCCCCTGTGACCTTTCTCCCCCTCTCGCTATCCTTGGCAGTTTCACCCTCCTCCGCTAGCCATTAAGTGATGGAGGGCACCACTCTACAAACGCCAGGAAGCCAGGAGTCAACCTTAACGCCTCTGCCCTGCACCTCACATTAATCACCAAGGCCTACTGGTTTCAATTGTCTAAACCTCTCCCTCTCTGATTTGTCATCTGTCTAAATATCTCTGAGTCAACACACCCTTTCTCAGTTCCTTCAGAGTCCAAGTCGTTCCCCCTACTGCAAGGTCTCCTGCGTTCTCTACGTCCACCTCCGCCACTGCCCACGCCCCACGTACGGAATAACAAAGGGAGCTTTACAAAATCTAAACCTGATCCTGTCAACAGCTCTCCTGAAAACCCCTCCAGAGCTCCTTGCTGCTCTGAGGTTGAAGAACAACTCGCTAGCATGGCCTGTGAGGTTGCACACACAGTCTGTCCACTGCCCAGCTCCCCGCCTCATCTGGCATCACTGTACCAAGGTGCCTTCTGCTCTGGGTACCCAAATGACTGGAAGGATCTTCCCCGACCTCACTCCCACCTCCATCCCACTCGACATTAGCTCCTCTTCATTTTCGGATCTCAGTTCAAATGTCACTTCCCCAAATAAGTCCTTTCTGACTCCCTGAACTAAATGATTCCTTTCCCCATTACGCAGTTTCATAGCACCTTGCTACTTTCCTTTCAACGAATGACTCAACTTGTAATTACATATTTATTTGCGTGATCGTTTTTACCAGTTCCTATTTTTTTCCTACTGTAACCTTCATGAAAGCAGGACTATGGCCATTGTTTTCCCAGGATCTGGCACACAGTAGTAGGCTTCCTAGGTATTATTTGCTTAGTGAATGAACTGGAAATGTAAGAGTGAACCAAATAGCCTACCTTCAATTTCCTTATCTATAAAATGGAGATTATCATAATATAATCAAGCATTAAGTGACATATAAGGAAGTAATTTACAAACAATAAAGCTTGTGACAAATATGCTCCCTGGCGCTGCAGAGGCCCACAGCTGGTGCTATAACACCAAATCCAGCCCCCAGCGGCTGCCTGGTGTCTCTGATCATCGAAGACCTCCCTCCCAACCCAATCAAAGCTTTTCTGTAGGATTCAAGAGTGGGTCTCCCTCCCTGTGTGCCTGGCTCACTGGTTCACTCAGTGAAGGCATGCCCCCTGCGGTGACAGGCAGGACACGGTGCAGCTGGGACCGAGGTGGGACGCATTTGGAAGGACGGGGTGACATCGTGCACGAGGAAGGGCTGGGGAAAGAGGCGTTGGCAGGCAGAGGGTGGGTCAGAGCTTTGGGGTCGCGGGGGGGGGGGGGGGGGGTCCCTGGGTGCAGGAGACCATACGTACCGACAGGCTTCGCAACAGGCACGTTCCCCAGGTAGTAGACTTGGAACTTCTGTACCAGCTCGTTCTTCGGGGCTGGGAATTCCACTGCCGGGAAGAAGAGGAAGCTGAGCCGTGGTGGCAGATGTTGCTCACTCACTCCCAGTTCCCACCCTGCAGGCATGAGCTGGACATTCCAGTCAAGGCCCTACCTCCACCCTTTCCCACTTCCTCCCTTTAACCAAAGTCCCTCCACTCATGTGACCCAAAGAATTTAGCAGCCATTTTTTTTTTTCTATTTTCTGTCTGTCCAGTGGCTGATGCTGGACGTGGAGGGGTTGTGACACTAACCTTGGAAGGGGACATCCACAAGTTTAGAGTGGTCCAGAGAGAGCCCATTGACCAAGCAGCGGGCATTGCGCCGTTCCGCCATGATCTGAGGGAGGGAGGAGAGGAAGGGAGGAGCAAAGGAGGGTCCGTTAGGGCTTCCTAGCCCTAAAGCAACCCCCACCCCCTACCCCCACTCTTGTAGAGCGAAGGTGGCAGCTAATCCAGGGAGCAGATAGGTCGTGCCTTAGAGCAGATCTCATGCAGGCTGGTGGCGATGTTCTTGGCGGGGGCCTCACAGCGAAACACGTGGCACTTGAGCATCTGGGTCAGCTTGTCCCGAGCCACGTAGGCGAAGTCCCTGTTGGGGGAGGGGCGCCTCAGTGTCTCCCAGTGCCATCCAATGCCGCCGAGCCTGTCCCCACCTCACCCACACCCTCCTCCGGGGCTTCTGCCCTCAGATGGCGTCCTGTGGGTACTGCCTTCTGGCTGGAAGGGAGGCAGGCAAGCATGCCGAGGTGAGGGAGCACAGGCGAGCACAGCGGGAGGGAAGGGGCAGGGCAGAATAGGGCACTTGGGTACTTCGAGGCATCGAGGCATCAGTCTGGGAGTGGGAGGAGGGAGGAGGCAAACAGGCATAGTACCTCTCTCTGGGTCCGGCAGCACAAGAGAGGCAAAGAACAGAGTTAGGGAGGAGGGCCCGCGCTAGCTGCTGGCCAGCCCCCACCCCGAGACCCCAGGCCCTGCGCCCACCTTCCGCTGTCCCGCCCGACGCCCCACACGCGAATGCTGACGATGGGCTGGGCGTGCAGCAGGGCCTGGCTCTGCGGCTCCACCAGCTTCAGCGTCTCCTCCTCCAGCTGCAGCAGCAGGTCCTTTCCCTGCAGGCCCAGGACACAGGCACTTCTTGGGGCCTCCGCTGCCACCTCCAGCTCAGAGGAGGTCAGCCGTGGCCCTGGGACCCTTACTTGGATGCCAGACCACCCACCCTGCAGGCCACACTAGAGAAGAGATCTCACCCACCATCGCTTGCTCCTTTTATCATCCTCCCCCCATCCTCCACCCCAGGTTACACAGCCATCTCCCAAGGCCCCAAGGTGGGGTCACCTGGGATAGGCAGGCGCGCACACACACACACACACACACACACACACACACACCCTATCCCCCACCTGGGCAGCTCCGCTCTCCCATCTCTCACAGTTCCCTCCTCTTTTCCACAGCACCAGCCCCCGCCAGCCAGGCCCTCACCTCCCCCCAGCCCCCAGCCATGGGGTCGTGCAGGTTGTTTTTGTGGTAGCAGAGCTGCCGGATGCAATTGTTGACAGCCACGCTGCTGCGTCCCGGGGCCAGCTCCTCCTCGGTCATCTCCACCCAGCCGAGGGAGCGCACGGCGAAGCACTGCCAAACACAGAGGAGGGGGTGGGGTGGGGGGACTCCGCGGGAACGGCAGGCGCCCCTGACACAGGACACGGGGCTTCTGCTGAGACTCAGAACGTGGGGGGGGGGGGGGGGGGGTAGTTCGAAGCTGAGACTCAGAAGCGCCCAAAATAAAAGAGAACTGGCGGGAGGGGTGGCGGTCTCAGAAGAGACCCCGCGAGTACAAGCCGCCGGGGGCCCCCCTGCGGGACCCCCAGGCCCAGTGAAAACGGGAGCTCCTGCAGCTCAGACCGGGGGGGGGAGGGGGGTGCGGACACGGGAAGAGCTCCTGACTCAGGACCAGGGGCTGTGCTGAGACCAGAGGTGCCCCCCCCCGGAAACGGCACCAGGCGCTCTCCTGCACACGGATGAGCCCCAGCCTGGGGAACCGGCATGGGTCTTGGACAAACCTTGGTCCCTGGGTTGGCATTCCTTTGGGGCAGCTTCTCCTCCTCCGGGGGCAATGGCTCCGGGCTGGAGGCAGATGGGGAACACTTGGTACGGGCCCCAGACATGGAGCTGTCCCAAGGCGCCTTCCCAGTGCACCCCTCCCCCGGCTTCGTGCCTTCCCACTCACCTAAGGCTCTGAGCCGGGAAGGGCAGGGGCCCCTCCACGGGGTCCTTCAATCCCAGATCCATGGGGGCCTCCTCACTGGGTTCGTCCTGGGGGAGGGGAGAGAGGGATCAGGACCCAAATCGCGCCCCTCCTGCAGCTCCCCCTTGGCGAAACAGGCCCCCCACTCACCTTCCAAAACTCTCCATCCTCAAAGCCTTCTCCGTGGGCAAAGCCTGTCCAGGTGAGCTAGGAGGGGGCGGCGGCAGTGAGGGGGCGGCTCGTCTCGCTCCGGCAGCACCGCCACCCCTGCACCCCGAAACACAGCGGGCCCTTAGCCTCACCTGGGACTCCTCTCGGGGGCTGCTCCCCTGGGAGGGGGAGGCCCGGCCCGGGGGCTCCCACTGTGTGGTCCCCGTCGGGATGTGCCAGTAGTAGGTCCCTGAGGTGTCCTGAACTCTCATCCATCCAGCCGGCAGGTCGGAATCCGTCTCGAAGGCGTTGGGGTTCCAGAAGGAATCTGCGAGGCGGGGGCTTGGTGAGAGTCTGCCCACCCAACAGGCAGGCAGCGGGTGCTCATGTCCAGTCCCCTCCCTAAGCCCCCACGGTGGGCTAGAAGGGGTGGGGGAGGGCCGCAGTACAGCATGGCTCCTGCTTCCTCCTACAGCCTGCAGTCTGGAGTCGCCACAGGGGGGACCCCAGCAGGGAACATGGCTCAGGTCTCCTCCCGGGCCCTGCTCCCGGCTAATGCGGCCATACTGGGGGAAGGAGGGGAGCAGAGAGAAAGGAGGGAGCTTAGGGGCGCTCCTGTCACACAGCTCCGTACCTCAGGTGCACACGCTTACCAGTTCTCCTGCACACACATGTGCACACAGACACCCAAGCCCTACTCCACCCCTGTGCAGCCCCCACCGACACAAGGGTGTGTACACACGGCAAATGGGCAAACACACACACACCAACTCCAGGCATATACTAACGCAGACATCCTGTACAGAGGAAAGGTGTGCACACACCTAGGTAGGTAACTATGTCTGTACACACCAACCCGGCCATGCGTAAGTACAGAGACCACACCCACAATGACCTCCGACATGTGTACAGGTACCACATTCTGAACGCACACTCGGACATACGACATAGGTCAACCTCTGCCACCTGGATGCAGACACGGCAGACCTCGCACCTGGACCCTTACGGATGCAGACTAACATTCGGTGCACACACCACACACCTGTGACATATCGGTACATTCTCCCTCCCGCTTCCCCCCCCCCCCATCCTTGCCGTCACCAACACTCCAGCCCTGCGGCCCAGCTCATGCTTCCTCCGCCTCTGCCCTCCCTGCCAGCCCCAGCCCACGTCATGCCCAGCCCCCGGCCCTCCCTCACCTGGGCTGCTGTCCTGCAGGATGATGGCCAGGAAAAAGTCCTGAGAGAACATGGCGCTCGTTCCCAGCCCCTCCTGCCCGCACCCTCCCTCCCCGCAGCCCCTCCAGCCTGGCCAGCTGGGCTCACAGCCTGGTGCTGGGCTGCAGAGAAAAGCTCATCCCGCCCCCTTCTCACCAGGGCAGAGTGCTTGCCAGGCACGATCCTCCCCCGCCTGGAGCTCACTCGGGAGGGGCCAGGACCACCAGGGGAGGGGACCCCTTTGGGGTGGAAAGGGAGGGTGCTCAGGAGACCCCAGCAGCCCTTTTTCTCATATCTTTTCTTTCCAATCCTGGCTCCCCTCCTCCAATCCCAAATCTCCATCCCACCCCATCATCCCACAGCGATCACATCAGCGCCACCGTCGTGCCCCGTCTCAGGGACGGGAGGAGGCTCGGCCCCTCGGGAATCCCCCAGTCCCCCTGGGGCCCTGCAAGCCGGGAGCTCGGCACCATCAGGGTGTGGCTTCAAGGCTCCCGGGGATGCCTCCCTCCCCGGAGCCTGCCCAACAGTCTGCGTCTGAGAGTGGGCCCTGAGGGCATGGGTTCCAGTAAGCTTGAGGCCACTGGGCTCGGGGCTTTCCCAGTACCAACCCCCCTCACCTGCCAGGGCCCAGCCAGGCTGCAGCGTCTCCTCGGCAACCGCAGCACCAGGACCGGCTGGGAGCGCCCAGTCTGCTGACGTGCTCCGCGTTACCAGGGAGACCAGGAATCCTGACTGGTCCAAGAGGCAGCACTGAGGGACAGGCAGTCGGTCCCTAGACCCAGGCTGCTGAGCAGCCAGGCCCCGGGGGCTGGGAGTGGGCGTGGCTACACCGCGGTGGCTGCACACCTGAGGTGAGAGCTATCTGGGCAGCTGCCTCACCACCCTGACCTTCCAAATGGGGAGGGCCTGGGAGGAGGGGCTCTTGCTGCCCATCCAGCCTTCCAGGCAGCCGTAACCACCTCCCTCTCCCTCCACTCCCAATCCCCACCCTCAGGCCCTAGGGAATTAAAATGCCTGCTCTTCCACACAGAGACCTCCCACCGCCTTCCAGGCTGAAAGGCCAAACCTTCCAAGAACATCAGCGTGAAGGGCAGCCATGCCCTCCACAGCCACACACGTCTTCATGAAAGCCATCTCGAATTAGGGGGCGAATTCTCCATCTTCTGACTGAGCCGCACACACCAATCCATCTGCCGTCCCTGTCCGTCTGCACCTTCCTGCTTCAGAGAGCTTCTTCCTTCCGATCTGATCTGGAGGGGCCGCTCTCCTGCCCTGACCATCTGCGAGGCCCTTCTGGAGCCTGGCACATCTCCTCCGCCGCTACCTGCCTCCCGGTCACCACCTATTTCGACTATCATGACTCCTATTTCTTACCTGGATCATTGCAACAGCGGTGCCTCCCTCTAGTCTAGTCCCCACCAGTCTGGGCTGCACCTCACAGCGCGAATGACTGCTCTGAAATCTCAGCTGATGAAATGACTCTTTATTGTCCTCTCCTGGCCCTCAAGATGGAATCCAAATCCTTCCCCCTCCCATCCCCCAAGGTTTGGGTGTTGTCAGGAGGCCCTAACCACTGCCTCTCAGCCTTATCTCTGACCATCCCTAACCCTCCCCTCTCTCTCTTTCTCTCCCTGCTTGGGGCATGTTCCCCGTCCCCACCCCATCTTCTCCAGCCCAGCCTCCCTCCCTTCTATCCTCACCTGGCTATTACCAACCCCTCCCTCAGGCATCAGTGTAAAGGTCACTTTTCAAAACTAACCCACCCCACCCCACCCCAAACCCCAAACCCACACACAGGCAGGGTCAGATGCCCCTTCTGCACTGCCCATCACAGAGCACGGTGCTGATTCTGACTTGGTGCTTCTGTCTCCCCACTAGACTGGGAGTGTATGAGGGCAGGATCACCTGTCCCCTGCAGTCTGCATTTGCAGCCTTCAGGACAAGGCCTGGCACAGGGTATGCACCCCACGAAGGTAGTCGAGTGCATTCATTCGTTCATCATTCATTCGTTCACTTATGCAATCAATCAACAACTTTGTGGAGATGCTAACTTTGTGGGAAGGAGAAATAACTTTTGCTCAATTCTAGCCCATTCCTACAGGAGTCTAGAAATGTCTGTGGCTTTCATATACAATCACAAACTGTAGGCCCTTCCCTGGGCTGGCCCCACATGGCCACCCTCAATTTCCACAGCCTGCACCCTTCCTCTTGCCTCGCCAATGCCCTCGCTAAGGTCACTGCCCACGCCTACATTCCCTTCCCAGGTGTCCAGCAGTTCTATCCTCCTGCTCCCAGGTGCGGCTACCACAGTGACCATCCCAGGAGCCCTGAGCATCGAGCCCTCTCCATTACTTGGCCTGACTCTCACCCTTGGGGCAGAAGTAGCAAACCAGCAACCTGCAGATGGGTGCAAGCCGCTTAGCGATTTTGTGTGGCCTGCAAGGTGTTTTTTAAAAAAAAACAGAATTGACTGTTAACATTTAGAAATTGAGATAGTTCACAACAATGTCCAGTTTTCCGTTTCCCTTGAAAAGGTACATGAAATGGCTCCCTTGCGACTACATTTTCCCTACAAACAATGAGCTGGACTGGAAGAGCAGCTGCTCCCTTTAAAGGGGTCCAAGCCATGGCCATCGAAGGCCACGATGCCACAGAGGAGAGAGGCCATCGGACGCGGCCTTTGGTAAAGGAGGACTCAGTGGCACCTATACAGTGTTCCTGCAGACACACTCACATCCGAGTCTGAGCCCAGCTCTGAACTCACTGCCAATTCCAGTGAAGTGGACAAGTTCAGCACCACCACAGAGAGGATGTGCGAAGCCGACCGTGCAAACACCAGGGACGCACCTCCGCGGCTTCCATAAAAAAACGACAGGCAAAATGAAGACAGAGCGGTGGAGGGACCATATACAGATCAAAGGAAACTGAGAGACACATCAGCCATCAAAAGGTCAATATCAATACTTGGATGTTGATTCAAACAATAAGTGTTTTAAAAGGCAGGAAGGACATTTATTAGACAACTGGGAAAATGTAAACACTGACTGAATATTTGATGATATTAAGTGATGGTTGCTACATTTTTGTAGACTTGATAATGGTATTGTGAATTTTTAAAAAGAGTTTTATCTCACACGGCCGGCATGGCTCAGGGATTGAGCGTCAACCTGTGAACCAGGAGGTCACGGTTTGATTCCCGGTCAGGGCACATACCCAGGTTGGAGGCCCAATGCCCAGTATGGGGCATGCAGAAGGCAGCCGATCAATGATTCATTCTCTCTCTCTCTCTCTTTCTCTCTCTTTCTCTCTCTCTCTTTCTCTCTCTCTCTCTCTCTCTCTCTCTCTCTCTCTATATATATATATATATATATATATATATATTTTATTGATTTTCTACACAGAGGAAGAGAGAGGGATAGAGAGTTAGAAACATCGATGAGAATCATCGATCAGTTGCCTCTTGCACACCCTCTACTGGGGATGTGCCCACAACCAATGTACATGCCCTTGACTGGAATCGAACCTGGGACCTTTCAGTCCGCAGGCCTACGCTCTATCCACTGGGCCAAACCGGTTTCGGTCAATGATTCTTTCTTAACACTGATGTTTTGCTCCCTCCCTTCCTCTCTGAAATGAATAAAAATATATTTTTAAAACAAATAAAAGAATTACATCTCTTAGAAATGTATGTGCTGCCCTGGCGGGTTTCTCAGTGGTTAGGGTAGGGGTGTCGAACTCAATCAGAGAAGGGGCCAAAATCTAAAATCCAGCCTAAATCGCGGGCCGAATGGTTTACTGAACAGTCATAAACTGTCATTGTGATGGAAACGCAGCGGAGTGCAGTGATGACAGCGCGGTGCGGGCCACATTGCAAGGCCTGGCGGGACGGATTTGGCCCGCGGGCCTTGTGTTTGACACATGTGGGTTAGAGCACCAGGCATAGCACATGTCCGGTTCCCAACCAAGGGCATGTATCTCAGCTGCTGGTTCGATCCACGGCCCAGTGCAGGAGGCAGCCAATTGATGTTTCTCTCTCTCCCCACCTGCGCTCCCCGCCCCATCCTCCTTACTCCCTTCTACTCTCTCTAAAAATCAATGAAAAAAATATGGAGTGAAGATAAAATTTAAAACAATGAATGGGCAAGCATTTATGGATGAAATGTTTACTTCAAAACAACCCAGGCTGCGGCCCAGGAGTAGGTGGGGCTACAGATGTGGCCAGACTAGGCAGGTGCTGATAATTGTTGAAGCTGGGTCCTAGGTAAATCAGGTTTGTTATTCTATTCCCTCTGCTTTTGTATGTGTTTGCAAGTGTCCATAATAAGAGTTTTAAAAGGGCACCGTGTGCTGCCCTTGGCTCATCAGAACCACAGGCTTCCTGCTAAGGTCCCACAGTTCGGAGTCTGGGTTCTCACTCTGTCATCTGTAATATGGGCACAAAATGGTGCCTGCTGCCTGATGCAGGGCAGTCTTTCCTAATCTTTACCTACATCCCACTCTCCACATGCCCAGCTTGTGGCTACAGCCCACTCACTCTGCCCTTCACTCTCAGCTCTGTCTGCATCTCCACAAACGTACTAATATCAGCCAGCCAACGTGGAGACTCAACTTACCGTATTTTCCGGCGTATAAGATGACTTTTGAAACGAAAAAAAGCCTGCTCAGATTGGCCAGAGTCAGAGAGGCGGTCTATTAAAAAAAGAACTGGTGTTGCCTCAGAAGTGGGAGGTAGTTTTATACAGCGAATATAGGCCTAAACCTATGTTTTAACTGTAAAATTAGGGGGTCGTCTTATACACCAGAAAATGCCCTGCACCAAGACATACACTTAATGATCAATCCTTGGAGTCTGAATATCTACTCTTCCTCTCCCCCACATCCCCAAAGAAGTATATATTTATTATTCCTAACTTAGCAAATATTCTATTGCAGATACAAAGGATTCAAAACAGGATCCCCTGCCGAAACCGGTTTGGCTCAGTGGTAGAGCATCGGCCTGAAGACTGAAAGGTCCCAGGTTCGATTCCGGTCAGGGGCATGTACATTGGTTGTGGGCGCATCCCCAGTGGGGGGTGTGCAAGAAGCAGCTGGTCGATGTTTCTCTCTCATCGACGTTTCTGGCTCTCTATCCCTCTCCCTTCCTCTCTGTAAAAAATCAATAAAATAAATAAATAAATAAATAAACAAACAAACAAACAGGATCCCTGCAATGCCCAGCGTGTTGCACACAACGCTCCCCCTTTTCCACAATGGACCTCTGTCTGTGGACAGGCATGCCCAAGTCTGGCCCAGGCGCCTTGGTTCCTGTGCTGTGTGCCCCGATGGCAGGCTAGCACAGCGCCCCGAGGGCAGGTCTGGACTCAGACCTGGTTTAGAACCTCAGTTCTCCTGTGATCTCAGCCGCCCTGGGATTTCAGGAAAACTACTCAACCTCTCCAGGCCTCGTTCTGCCATCTGTAATACGGGCACAACACAGTATCCATGTCACAGCATCCTGAAGGTTAAACACGACAGAGCTGAGCACGGGGCCAGCGCCCGGTAAACGCCCCGTACACGGACCTGCTCCGCTGTCCATCCATCAGGGGGTGCATGACGGACGGACTGGTTAACGTGGTCAAACTCTCTCTGAGGCGGGAATGGCCTCCTTCAGGAAAGCCTGGGCGTGGCCTGCCGCAGACCGAGGACTCACCCCCAGGCTGGCCCGGGCCTCTGCATGGAGAGAAGCCTGCCCTCTGCCCTCTTGCCCGCCCACATGCCCCGTATCAACCTCCACAAGGTACCTGCGTCCTCCGGGGAGCCGTAGGAGGGGCTGCCCTGGGATAAGGTAGCCCAGCTGGAGTCCTCGTCGCTGGCCGCGCTGTTCCGCATGCCGAACAGGAGGCTGGCGCTCTTGCTGTGCTCTCGGGGGCCGTCTGCCAGGGCCTGGGATGCAGGAGGCTCCTCCGCACTCTCCAGGGGCTCGGGCAGCCCCGGGGGAGAAGACAAGTCCTCCTCCTCCTCCTCCTCCTCCTCCTCGTCCTCTTCCTCATCCTCCTCCTCCTCCTCTGCTTCCCCCGAGGCCTTCTCCTCTCCCTCGTCCGGCCCCTGGTCTTGGGAGCTGATGATCAGGTCGGGTCCCCGGAGCCCCCGGTTGGCCGCATTGTGGGCGGAGAGCTCCAGCTCAGAGTACAGGTGCAGCAGGCCTTTGGGGCCCAAGGGTGCCGTGTCGGGCTCCTGGCCGGCCTCCTCGGCCAGGGTCAAGGTCACGTTTCGGTTCTGGTCACGGTGGGCCGTGGCAGCCCGCCGGAGCTGGTTCTGGCCCTCCTTGAGCCACTTGGCATTGGCCGGGCCGGGCTCAGGCCCGCCGCCCTCCCCCATGGCGCTGCGCAGGTCTTTGGGTCCCACAGCAGTGCCCTGCAGCTTGGCGTTGAGCAGCTGGTTGTGGGCAGCGTGCAGGGGCAGGGGCAGGGGCAGGCTCAGGGCGGGGCCTCCGTGGCTGTTGGCGTTAATGGCCGACTGGCTCAGCGAGGATGGAACAGACATGGCCTTGGCAGGTCCTGCAGGGCAGGGTGGGGGTCGGGGGGAAAGGGAAGACCACAGTTAGACTCCAGGTCGGGAGAGCCTTCCCCTCAATTCCAACAGCAGAGCCTTCACACAATGGCTCTCTGTGCATCCCCACCCCCAGCTCGTCCAACTGGGGCGCCCTGTGCCAGGGACGCAGCTGGCGTGGGCCTGGCTCATGTGTTCCCTGGACACTGACTGCCCCCTTCCTCCTGCCACACTGCCACCCAGAAGCCCACCTCTGAGCTCCCCAGGGTGCGTTCCCATCCTCGTACACCACTGGGCTCAACCAGCCCCCATGCTGCCCCGCGTAGGGCCTGTGAGGTCAGGAAAGAAAGAGCCGCAGACCCAGCCCGCAGGGCAGGGCAGGGCCAGGCAGGGCCGGGCCCAGGGAAGACAGGTCACAGAGGAAGGGCCTCCGCTCCAATTCATGGCTCCCTGGTCAGTTGACGCTGTATTTTGGTGACTCTTTCTTTTTTTCTTTTTTCTTTTTTTAATACATTCTTATTGATTTTTTTACAGAGAGGAAGAGAGAGAGATAGAGAGTTAGAAACATTGATGAGAGAGAAACATCAATCAGCTGCCTCCTGCACACCCCCTACTGGGGATGTGCCCGCAACCAAGGTACATGCCCTTGACCGGAATCGAACCTGGGACCCTTCAGTTCCCAGGCCGACACTTTATCCACTGAGCCAAACCAGTTTCGGCTTGGTGACTCTTTCTATAAAGAATCTCACGTCGGGCACCGGTCCTTCCACCTGCCCCTCTAACCCAAGCCTGGGTCACAGCAGGAGTCTTTGAGCTGGACCCTCCAGCCCTTCAGGTCTTTGCCCAAATGTCACCTTCTCAGTGAGACCTTTCTGAATGCTCCCAAAACTGCAGCTCTGCCTAGCCGGCGTGGCTCGGTGGGTGAGTGCTGACCTAAGAACCAGAAGGTCACCGTTGGATTCCTGGTCAGGGCACGTGCCCAGGCTGCAGGCCCAGCCTCCAGGAGGTGGCATGCAGGAGGTAGCTGCTATGTTTCTATCTCTCTATCCCTCTCTCTTCCTTTCTCTCTAAAAAAAAAATAATAAAAACGTATTTAAAACACACACACACACACACACACACACACAAAAAAAAAAAAAAAAACACAAAAAACACAAAAAACAAAAAAAAAAAACCCTGCAGGTCACTATGCCTTCTCTCAGCAATCCCCAAATCTTCCCTAGCACCTAACACCATCTAACAAGCTATTATTTTTTTAAAATATATTTTATTGATTTTTTTACAGAGAGGAAAAGAGAGGGATAGAGAGCTAGAAACATCAACGGGAGAGAATCATCAATCAGTCAGCTGCCTCTTGCACACCTCCTACTGGGGATGTGCCCACAACCAAGGTGCATGCCCTTAACGTAGGGGTGTCGAACTCAATCAGAGAAGGGGCCAAAATCTAAAATCCAGCCTAAATCGCGGGCCGAATGGTTTACTGAACAGTCATAAACTGTCATTGTGATGGAAACGCAGCGGAGTGCAGTGATGACAGCGCGGTACGGGCCACATTGCAAGGCCTGGCGGGACGGATTTGGCCCGCGGGCCTTTTGTTTGACACATGTGCTAATGGGAACTGAACCTGGAACCTTTCAGTCAGCAGGCCGACGCTCTATCCACTGAGCCAAACCAGTTTCGGTAAGATATGATTATTATTGTTGTGGTTGCTTTTTAAATTTTATTTTTAAAGTTGATTTTAGAGAGAGGAAGGAAGAGAGAGAAAACAAAGTTGGATGTGAGTGAGAAATGTATTCGTTGCCTCTCCCATGTGCTCCAACAGCGGACTGAATCCACAACCTGTGGCTCTGTGCTCTGACCAGGAATGGAACCCACCTTCTGGAACCACCTGAGCCACACTGAGCAGGGCTATTATTGTCTCCTCGTGACAATAATGCCAGTTCTACACTGTGAGGATCTGTCTTTTTATTTATTTATTTATTTTTTCCTTCAAGGCAGTATTCCTAGAGCTAACCCGGTCCTGGCACAGAAGAGGAACTCAGTGCACAGCTGCAGAATTAACGTTGGGATGTGCCCTCCCCTCTCCTCCAGGCCTCCTTGTAGCATCACCACTGCCCGTTCCAGAAAGCACACTTCACGGCGCCCCAGCCACACTCTGCCTGCCCTCCTGCTCCGCAGTGACTGCCATGCATCCTCACAAGCCATTCACGGGTCACCTTCTCCACTCACCTCTCCTCCCAGCCCCATTACCCCAGGGACCCCACCCTCAAGCTCCCAGCCCACCCTCCCCATTTCCCCCGACCTTCCACTACAGGGCTACTTTCCTCCCCTGACCCCCACCACAAAGTGCTCGCCCCCTGTTGGCCCCCACATCACAGCCCATGCCTCCTGGCCAACCACTTCCCAGTTCTTTCTCCTCCTGTCCCTGGTCTGTCCCTCGTCGACAGCCCCTACCATGACACGCTTACTTCCCTGGCACTCAGGGCTGTCTCTTCCTGCTTGAGCCTTTTCCCAACACAGCTCTCCCTCACTGAGTGGCCCTCCTCACATGCCACCTTTCTCTCTGACCCCCACTGGACAGTTCCATCCCCTTCAGTTCTCACCTGAGCGTTCTGTGTCTCCCTGTGCCCCACTAAGAAGTCCTTTCACCCCCCGACCCACCCTCTGCCCAGTTCTCTGCCACCTCAGGGTGGCTCTCAGCTCCAGGCACAGGTTGCAGCGAGGTGTTTAGGCTGCCGAGCAAGGCTCTGCCACCTCTCTGGGAGGGTGGTGGTCCTGAGGCAGGAGCCATAGCTCGCCTTTTACGTGCCTCGGACCCTAGCACAATGCTCTGCAGGCAGCTGGGAGGTAAATGGGGAAGGCCCCTGTCTATGTCTGCCTCCTGTGGAACTGCCGGTCTGCTCCGCGAGGCTCCACCTGGGCAGCGAGAAAAGGAAACAGCTCTGCCTCTACCCAAAACCACCGCAATCCTCCCAAAATGGAAACGGGGTTGTGTAATTCCCCAGCTCGAACGAGAAGATGGCTCGCCCTGCCTTGAGGATAAAACACCCGGGCTCATTAGCAGGACACAAGAGCCTCCTGCGCCAATCCCGGAGCCCTCTCCTCCGGGACCCCCTCCGCCTGCCTCCTGCACACCGCACACTCAAGCCACGTGAAGGGTGGGGGGTTCTGGACCACGCCACACTCCCACTGCCCCGGCTCTTCGTTTGGAATTCTAGCTCCCCTCGTGAGAAACTCTGCTTCATGTTTCAAAACGTGGCTCAGGGGTCACAGCTCTGAAGCAGTAAATCTATTCCTTTTTTTTTTTTTCTTTCTTTTTTTTAATATATTTTATTGATTTTTTTACAGAGAGGAGGAGAGAGGGATAGAGAGCTAGAAACGTCGACAAGAGAGAAACATCGACCAGCTGCCTCTTGCACACCCCCTACAGGGGATGTGCCCGCAACCAAGGTACATGCCCTTGACCAACATCGAACCTGGGACCTTTCAGTCCGCAGACCAACGCTCTACCACTGAGCCAAACCGGTTTCGGCAAATCTATTCTTTTTTTAAAAATATATATATATATATTTGTATTGATTTCAGAGAGGAAGGGAGAGGGGGAGAGAGAGAGAAACATGAATGAGAGAGAATCATTGATTGGCTGCACACCCTTCTGGGAATGGAGCCTGCATGCAACCCAGGTATGTGCCCTTGCCTGGAATCGAACCTGAGACCCTTCAGTCCGTAGGCCGACGCTCTATCCACTGAGCCAAACCAGCTAGGACATTAAGTCTATTCTTGTTCAGCCCTCTCTCCCCATCCTCAAGGGACCAATCCCTCCTTTGTGTCTCACAATACCCAATACTGCATCCCACCAGCGCCTCAGAGACCACTGGTGTCTTGCTCAACTTCACTTTCCCACTCACAACGCGAGTCCACCGCGCACCTGCCACACGGCTGGCCCTCCGTGTGGAAGGAAGGGGAGATGGGTGGGGCAGACAGGGTGAGAGACACCGGGAAGCTTGAAACTCTTTGGAAAGAGACACTAAGATAGGCTGGTGTGGCCCCACGGGCTGAGGATGGGCGATGGGAGCGTAGAGAGGGTGCAGGAGAATGGAAAAGGGTCCTGAGAAGGAAGTAAGAGGGGCCTGGGGTGCAGGACAGGTGTGGGCCGAGACCTAGGGGGAAAAGGAGCAAGAGGGTTTACTTAAACTGGCATCCTGGCTCTTAGGCTGCTCAAGAGTGCCGTCTCCATGAGTTTCCGGAGGTGGGAGAGCCGAGACCTGGCAAGCTCACGCTGAGTGCTTCCCTAAGGCAGCGGTATAAGCTGGGCGTTGCAGAGGTCAGGCTGGCTGGGACTAAGCTCCTTAGCTCTTGGAAGTGTGGTCTGGGAGGGGCACAGGCACTGTGAGGCTGGGGCAGCAAAGAGCCTGGCTGACTTCAGGGCAGCCTTGTCCACCTCTGGCCAGCAGGGGAGAAAGTACTGGGGGAGGAGGGGGACCCTCTGAGGTGGTGGTGATCACACTGCCTTTGAGATCAAGGATGACCAGCTGCCCGATATCTTCCAGACCCCACCTCTGCCCTCTCATGGGGGTCATCCATACCTGGATCCTCTTGAAGGATGGAAAGAGCCGAATGGGTTCTGGCTCAAGGCAGGGACTTGGGCAGGGACTTGAGGGTGGAAATTAAGAGAGGTCACTAGACCTGAAGAAGCTGATATCAGACTATGGGGGAGGGGGGGGTGTATCCTGCTCAAGGTCAAGGGTCTTCTAACCTGGTCGCTTATGCCAGGCACTCTGCATGGCATGGGGGAGAGTAAGGAATAATAAAGAAATGGTTGCCCTTGCTGATTTGGCTCACTGGATACAGCATCAGCCTGTGGACTTAAGGGTCCCAGGTTCGATTCTGGCTGAGGGCACATGCCTGGGTCCCGGGCTCACTCCCCAGGAGGCAGCCAATCAATGATTCTCTCTCATCACTAATGTTTCTATCTCTCTCTCCCTCCCTTCCTCACTGAAATCAATAAAAAATGTATGTTTTAAAAAGAAAAAAAGAAATGGTTCTTCCTCAGTGGAGCTCACAGTCTAGTGGTGAAATAGTCATTGAACAGGTCGTCACAATAAAATGTAATGCCGGTATGTAGACTAGTACGTGGCACCTAATCGCACTCCCTATTTGTTGAATACATGACTGAGATGATGGGGGAAGAACAGGACACCGCAGCAGCCTGAGGCTCACTCTAGCCTAGAGATCAGCAAAGACCTTCCTGAGGAAGGGACTTTTTAGCTAAGGCAAGAGCACAACTCTCCTTTGACCACCCCCTGCACCACCCACCCTCTCAGAGTGCCATCTCCATGACCACCCACTCCTGATTCAGAGAGGAAACGGAAGCCATCGGTCGGGAATTTCCTCAAACATACGGACTTGCTGACTTTCAGGACCTACCACTTGGTTCCTTCCTTTCATGCCTTTCCAGGAATTTTATATCACTGCTTACCCATTTTATTTTATTTTATTTTATTTTATTTTATTTTTAAATATGGAACACTTCATGAATTTGCGTGTCATCCTTGCACAGGGGCCATGCTAACCTTCTCTGTATCGTTCCAATTCTAGTATATTTGCTGCCAAAGCAAGCACCCCATTTTCTTTTCTACACAATCAATCTCTCTTTCTCAATGGGATCTACTATTGTATCTCCCAACTTAAAACACACACACACACACACACACACACACACACTCTCTTTTTTGACCCAACACTCTTCCTCCAGTGCTACTTGCTGCTCTCTCTTTTCCACACATCCCCCAACAGCCATTTTCTCACCTCACACTCACTTCTTAACCGTTTCCAATCTTGCTTCCACTCCCGACACACCTCAGTAGCAGCTCTTACCAAGGTCAACATGGCCCCTAGGCCACTGATCCAACAGACACTCATAGTCCTCCTCTGGGTTGCACGCTCTGCACATTTGACACCATGGGCCTCTCATCCAACTTTCATCCATGGCTTCTACATGCTACGTCTCCTGGTGTCCTCCCTACACTCTAGTTTCTATCTGGTGGCTTCTTAGACCCCTTTGCTGCCTCATCTTCCTCTACCAGCTGGAGTTTCCCATGTTGTCCTTATGCCCTTTGGTCTTTCTCACCTACCATTCAACAGAGGTATTCATTCATGCCCGTAGCCTCAGTGACCATCTCTATACCAATGGTTTCCCCTCCACCAGATCCTTGTCTGAGCTCCAGACATGTACATATCTTTCTACTCAACATCTCCACTTGGATGAGGTCTCAAGACTAACATGCCCATTCACGGTTCTCTTGCCCATCCCCTAACTGGCTCATGGAATGATATGATCAACCATCCTGAGTAGGGTGTGTCAACCATCCATGACACTACCTTCTCCATCATTCCCCATATTCAATCCATCCCTAGGTACTGAAAGTTTTTCTCTCTGAAGACATTTCTAGATTTGATCTACTCTCCACACCTACTACCATCAGCAATCTGCATCAAGAACGAAGACCTTTCAGACCAACATTTATAAAATGGCCTCAATTGTCCTGCTCGGTCTGGCCCCTGCCTTCCTCTCCATCTTTGGCACGTTGTTCTCCAGCCTCACTGGCCTTCTTTGATTCCTCAAATCATCATATTGTCTCTTTGCATGTGATTTCACTTCTGCTAAGAACCTCCTTCCCCTACCCTCTCAGCCTAACTCTTACTCATCGTTTACATCTCAGTTCAAACGTCATATTCTCAGAGACATCTTCCTTGACCCTTTCTTCCTACCCACGAGACCACCAAGGCACCATCTACCTTTCCTTCGTGATATCTATTAAATCTATAATTTTAGTCTTTTCTGATTCCCCCTTCCTGTAGATTGTCAGCTCCATGGAACAAGGACCTTGTCTATTCTGCTCACAATTACATCTTCAGTGCCCAATACAATACCTGGTATATATTAGGTGTTCAAATAGCATTTGTTGAATGAACAGATGATCAGATGGATGCTTTTTTTTTTTTTTTTTTTTAAGGAGGGGAGGTATGCTATTAGAGTAGCCAGCCAAGGGAAAAAGGTTGTAACCTAGATTGTTTGGTAGCAGTGGGGATGGAGAGAAATGAATGGATGTGAAAAATATTTTAGGTAGTGGATGTGACAGAACTTGGTGGCATTAGATGTAGAAGGTGAGGCAGCAGAGGTTAACCTAGACTGTTGCCCAGGATTCTAGCCTGGGTAACGAACTGACTAGAAAGTAACCATTTCAGAGGGTTAAAGGAACAACAGACTCGGAAGAAGGGTAGAGAGGGAACACGGGGAAGATAATTAACTCAGCATGGATCCATAGGTTTGAAATTTCTATTGTACTTCCAAACGGAGGTCGTGAGGGCAGTTGGATATTGAATCTGCTGTTCAGGAAAGAGGGCTAGGCCAGATGCATAAATGTGGGGACCATCAGCATGTGTGTATGAAGCCTTGGGAATGAATGAAATGCCCAAGGAGAAAGGGCAGAATGAAAGAAGACCACTCAGGACAGAAAGAAGAGCCTCGCCAGCATCTAAAAGAAGAGGAAAAAGGTAGCAAACGAGACCTCGATCGAGCCAACAATGCCAGGAGAGAATCCAGGGAAATGCTTCAAGGAGAGCTGACACCCGCCACCGAATGAATACTAGGAGAAGGGTGACGGAGAGTGCCCACTGGAGTTGGCCACATGGAGGTCTCAGGTGACCTTGGCTGGAGCGGTTTCCGTGGGTGAGGGACACAGAAGAGCCAGCAAAGCGGCTTTAAAAATGAATGGGAAGTGAGGCAATGAACACAGCGAGTGTAGACAAGGTTTTGGCTTTGAACAGTGGAGAGAGCTGGAACTACGATAGAGGGTCTGGGGATACAAAAAACAAACAAACAAACAAAAAAAAAAACGGCACAGGCATAGGAATCAAAACAGCTTCGGAATAACCTCTGAATGGGCTGTGGGAAAACCGCTCCTAATGAGTGGCCCTGCGAGTGCTAGGCCTCCGTCCGGGCCGAGCTGGGGACACAGCCGGCCCCAGGGCACGCTCGCTGCACGGTCGCTAAGAGCGACAGAATGCGGCCTGGCAGATCCCAGGCCTGGGACACTGCAGGGAAACCCGCGGCCTCTGCCTGCCTCGCCGCACCTCCCCTTCCCAGCCCTGGACCTCCCCTCCCCCCCGCGCCCCATCCCCCACCGTCCCTCCCTCCGCGTCCCCCCATCCTCGCCCCTGTTCATCCCGCAGGGGCAGGGGGTACAGGCCGGGGAGGGACGGTGTGAAGCCCGAAGTGGGATCCCCCAGGAGGCCCGGGGACAGTGGGAATGCGCCCGGAGAAAGCACTGCCCACGGGGATGGGCCGGGCCGGGGGACGGGGGGGATCCGGGGCGCCCTGGGGAAGGGGCCGCGGGGCCGCGGGCCGCTGGGGGTCGGGATCTGCCCGCCGGGGCTGGGCCCGGGGCTGCGGCAGCTCCTACCTGCGCGGGGAGGCCCCAGGCCCGGGTGGCGGAGGCGGCTCAGGCTGCGGGACTGGGGCTCCGCGGCGGCTTCTCCATCACAACATCCCCGGCCCGGGAGCGCGCGGGCCGCGGGGCTGCGCCCGGAGCGGGGGCGCGCGGGGGCCGGGCGCGCGCGGGGAGGGGAGCCATCTTAGCCGGCGCGGGCGCCCGCTCCTCGGGGCGGCCCTGGCCGCGGGGTCCGGGAGGGTCCCACCCAGCGTGGACCCTCCGGCCTCGGGGAGCCCACGGCCGCGCCCCCGCGGCCAACCCTGCGCGCGGGCCCCGGGTCCCACGGCGCAGTCCCCGCCTGTGCGGACCCTGCGCGGCCGGCGCCACCCCCTCCACCCCGGCCCGGAGTGGTTCGTGCGCGCCCGCCGGACCCTCCCCGCGCCCCCCGGGGCCTGGACCCACCGGGCAGGGGCCTCGCACCCAGCGGGCAGGGCGGGCGGCGGCGGCGGAGGGCGGCCCGCTCCGCCCCTGCGGCAGGCACTCTCCCCGCGCCCCGGTGCGGAGCCGGGCACGCGGCGGGGGCGGCGGTGGTAATAATAGCTCCCGCTTATCGACCGCTCGCGCTGCGCCGGGCTCTGGGTGCAGCCCTTTGCGTGCGTTCATCCCCGCGCCAGCCCTGTGAATGCGCCCCATGGTTATCCTCATTTTTCAGAGGCAGCCTTGGAGGCTCAGAACAACGGTCAAGCGATTTGCAGTCAGAAGGTGGTGAAGTCAAAGGGGAACCGGATTTTTCTTTCCTTTTCTTTTCTTTCTTAATTTTTTAAATATATATATATATATTTTATTGATTTTTTACAGAGAGGAAAGGAGAGGGATAGAGAGAAACATAGATGAGAGAGAATCATCAATCAGCTGCCTCTTGCACACCCCCTATTGGGGATGTGCCCTTGACCGGAATCGAACCTGGGACCTTTCAGTCCACAGGCCAACGCTCTGTCCACTGAGCCAAACTGGTTTCCGCCCAGAATTTTCTTGACACCCTACCTGTTCCCATCCACCGAGGCCTGGCTGATGGCAATAAATCGCTCCCCAGTAGAAAAGAGCGATAAAGAAGAAGGGGAGAGGTACGGAGGGGCACAGTATCTACCGCAGGACAGTTCCCGGTGGTCAGTCAGATCAGAGTCCCAGAGACCATGGGGGACTTTGAGGGGGAAGGTTACCATCCAGAAACCCTCTCATAGCTCACTGTGTAAGGCTTTGATTGTATGGTAGCTGCTAACTATTGCACCGCTGCCTGGAGAAGCCCTCGAGTAATTAAAACAAAAGGTGTTGAAATCATCACTTATTCTTTCATCCCCGTTATTGACCTTTGAAGAACTTTCACTGGGGTGAAAAGGAACCCTCTCCAAGCAGCCCCACTCCATCCACCCAGTGAACCGCACCACCATCTACTGGTTTGCTGCAGCCAGAAACCTCAAGGTCCTCTTTCACTACACTTGGGCTTGACTTTAGGTTAATATAAATGTTTTCACTTTTTATCATGGGAAAATTAAAAATATAGATGAAAGGAGAAAGAACAGTGTAATGAACCCTCCTCATATACCCATCACTCAGTTTCAACCATGATCAACTCCTGGCCAAGAGTTTATTATTATTTGACAAATATCTATGGTATATGAATCATGTACCAAGTTCCACACTAGGTCCTAGGGATCCAAAGATGTATCAGATTTGACTATAACCCAACCTGGAGGATATCACATCTGGCCTTGATCCCTGGTAGGTGAATGAGGGTTACCCAGAAAAAAGAAAGTTGTCCTTATTCATTCATTCTCTTTCAACAAATAATTATTAATGTGTGAGGCACTGTCCTTGGTGCTAGGAATACATAAAGAAACAAGATTGTATTTCTACCTTCTTAAAGCTTGAATAATGGGAAGGACATTAAACGTGATTAGAAATGTGGGGAGTATCATTTTTTTAAATATATTTTTATTGTTGATAGTATTACAGATATCTCCCCTTCCCCTCCCTTCCCCCCCCCCCCCGACTTACTTCCCTTCCCCTAACCATCCATGCCCAGGTTTTCACTACTCTATTGCCAATGTCCATGGGATGGATGGAGATATATATATGTGTGTGTGTGTGTGTGTGTGTGTGTGTGTGTGTGTGTGCGCCTAAGCAACCGTTAAGGCAGAACAACGGGAATGACCAGTCTCTATGATGGGCACTGAGCAGGCAAGCAGGCGAGCAGTTAGGGTTGAGCAGTCTCGGATTATGAAAGGCAGTCAGACATCCCCCAAGGGGCTCAGATTGTAAAAGGACACAGGCCGGGCTGAGGGGTCCCCCCACCACCTCATGCCCAAATTGCATGCACTGGTCCTCTAGTAAGTATATATGTTCTTTGTTTTATCTCTTCTTGTCCCACAACCACACATAAAGATATGTCAGTCTGTTCCATACCTCTGTGCTTCAAGTCTTAATTTGTTGGTCAATTCATTTTGTTCATTGAATTCCACAAATTTAGTGAGATCATGTGATACCTTTCTTTCTCAGATTAGCTTATTTCTAATTAGCATAATATTTTCTAGGTCCATCCATGCTGTCCCAAAAGGTAAGAGATCCCTCTTTTTTATGGCTGCATAGTATTCCATAGTATCAATGTGCAATTGCTTTTTTTTTTTTTTTTTTATCCATTCATCTACTGATAGGCACTTGAGCTATTTTCTGATCTTAGCTATTTTGTGATGAGTATCTGAAGGAGGTGTACCGGATGCTATGTGAGTGAACTAAAGTTAGCCTGGAGAGGTTTGGGAAGGCTTTCCATAAGAAACTGGCACTTTTGTGAGGGGAATGGGGTAAAGGAGAAGGTCAGCTGGAAGAGAAAATTATTCCAAGTCAAAGGAGAAACACAGGAAGGCCCATATGGGTGACAATGGAGAAGAACGGCATATGATGAACTGAAAAGGTAGTATGTGCCAAATCAAGGAGGGCCTTGTAAGGGTTTGCTAAGGGTTTGGACTTATTTTAAGGGCAATGGAAAATCATCAGAGGGTTTGAGGTCGAGGAGAGGCACGTTCATCCTTGCATTTCAGAAGCTCACTGTCTGCTAAGTGGAGAATAGATAGGAAGAGAGCAAAATTGGCCCTCGGTGTGGGGACCAGTTAGGAAGTAGTTAGTGTAGTGTAGGTGGGAGGTGACTAGTTGTGGGAGTAGGGATGGAGAAAATTGCAGAGGTTTAAAAAACAGGAGGTAGAATTCACAGATATTAGTGATCAGTTGATTGGCTATGGAAGTATGAAGGAAAGAATGAATTCCAGACTTCTGCTTGAGCAATTAAAAAAAAGAAAAATCCAGAAATATCATCAGTTTACAGAAAGCCCACCAGAATACTCATCTTCCCAGTCCATTGAGCAGGAGGGCTGCAGTATTCAGGGAAATCTCTTCAGGTAACCAGAGACACACAGATAGGATGATGAGGGTGAGGATAGGCGTCTACTTAGCTAAGATGCACAAAGGAAAATGTGCAGCTCACACACGGTGCAGTTTGACACACACACAGTCTTCCTGAATCCCTGATCTCCTATGTCTGCAAAACCTCCTGCTCAGTGGGGAGTCAACCTGTGCCCTTTAGCCATCCTTTTGCTAATGTATCTCTTCTCCCTTCTGATGCTATCCAGGGCCTAGGAGCTAACAGCCTATGAACCATCTCAGATACTGTGTGTGGTTCTAACAATGTGGGTCCCAGGCAGCAATTTTTAAAAATTATTACCTTGGTCTTATCAAGAAAAACTTGATTTAGAAACAAATCCAGCCCTAGCCAGTTTGGCTCAGTGAATAGAGAGTCAGCCTGTGGACTGAAAAGTGGATCAATTGCCAGTCAGGTCACATGCCCGGGTTGCGGGCTCGATCCCGAATAGGGGTTGTACAGGAGGCAGCCAATCGATGATTCTTTCTCGTCATTGCTGTTTCTATCTCTCTCTCCCTCTCCCTTCCTCTTTGAAATCAATTTAAAAAAAAATAATTCTATCCAGAGAGTCACTTACCAAGAGCACTGGCTTTATGCATCACCAGGCAGTTGACATCCATGTCACCTATATGAAAGAATAGAGCTTTCATCCCTATTAGCACTAAAGACACTTAATGAAGCAAAGGCAGCATTTCCTACCACTATATATAAGCATTGCTTGAATATTGTATTTTTTATTGTAGTTGATCTAATAAATTTTGTTTATTCTGGGTGATTGGTATCATTTGGAAAAATTTATAAGGAGTAAAAATCTTCCTACATATTATATGGAGTGGAATTCATAAGTCAGATGCTAGGTCTGGCAAGGACTTCCTCAACACCCTTCCTCAAGATGCTTCTAATGCATTCCCAGGAAGAGCATAGAGGGTGAGAGAAGGACTAACCTCTGGGAATGCCAGTGTTTGGGGAGCCAGCAGAGGAAAAGAAGGCCAAAAAGAAAGCTGAGAAGAAACAGAATAAGAAGAGAATCGGGAGAGAGTAATGTCATGGAAGATGTCCAAGGGAGGAAAGATTTTCAAGGAGACAAAAGTAGTCAGCAGCATCAAATGCAGCAAAGATTTCCAATAAGGTCAAGGCAAAGAAGTATCCTTTGAATTTTGTGGCAGGGAGGTCATGGACATCCATGATGTGATCTGTATCAGCAGAAAATGGAGGCAGAAGCCACAATGCAATGAGTTGAGCAAATGAAAACAAGGAAGAAGAATAAGTGCAGAACCCCCTATAGAGAAATTTAGAAGAAAGAATAGACAGTAGCTGAAAAGTAGTATGAAGTTAAATATTCTGGTTTACTTATTTATTTAGGTTATTTGTTTTTTGTTTTGTTTTTTCTTTAATTCTTACCCGAGAACATGCATAGAGAAAGAAAGGGGGAGAGAAAGAGAGAGAGAAACATTGATGTGAGAGAGTAACATCAATCGGTTGCTTTCCATATGTGCCCACAACCAAGGTACATGCCCTTGACTGGAATCAATCCGCAGGCCGATGCTCTATTCTCACTGAGCCAAACCGGTTTTGGCTCCAATTCATCTTACTCTAGTAGCTGACACAAAGCTCTGCACATGGGAGGTGTTAAGTGAGTGGATGAAAGAAGCATGAATTGAGCCTCTTATGGGAGTTCTTTGGAGATAAGCTAGAGGCTTCCTTGTAACA